ACACATATACTCACATGTGCTGTATGCAAATTTAGATAAATATAAAATAATATGATTCCTTATGGCTTTTTAAGCATTGTAGTGTTATTAATATCCCTTCCATCCTCCCTCTCCTTACTGACTTCCATTCTCCTCCCCAGTTAAAGCCCCTCCCACAGAGGCAATAGAAGGGAGAAAGGGAGAAATTGCATGACTTAATTTGGGTTTGTAAGATTCCTTGGCTTTGTAATTACTTCTCCATGACAATCAACCATAGTGAAGATACTTTTACTCATTGTTAAAGGCAGAGTTAACCATTCTTAGAGAGTCTCCCGTCCTTAGGAAAGGTGCTCACAAAGTTGGCTTGGGGATAGAATCTGGTATCTTACCCTTTGGGAGACTTTGTTCAATTCCTAAAATAATCTGGATGGCTCCTGGACTAATACTATTTATGCTGAATCCCTGATTTCCTTCTGGGAGTCTAGTATATTTTTCTGTGTTATATATAAAAAAAAGGTACTTAGGCAAAGAAGCCTCAGTGAAAATCCTAGGTGAAGAGTTTTAATGAGATGGGTAAATAATATTTATATGTATTTTTCAGCTTACTTGCTGGAGGGACTTAGCATATTTTACAGGACTCCAAGGCGAAGCCGGTGGCATCTGGTTTCCTCATGGCTTCTCTCTGTGTTTCCTTTTTGCTGACCTGGTTTTGTGTCTTTGTATTATAATAAACTACAGACAAAATGCCTCCTACAAGCTCCTGTGTAAAGCATTGCACCTCAGAGGATCTCCAGATCCCTGGGCACAGCCTCCCCAGCTGTGTCTTGCTAAACCTCCTTCTGTCAACAACAGCTTTTCCCCAGGATAATACTGCTTCCATGTCACATACGAACTGAAATATTGGGTCAGCTTTGACCTCCATACACTCACAGCAATCACCAGCCCAGCTCCACTGTCAAGTGTCAGAACCCTGACAGGAATATTACTGAGAGGACAACAAAATCTAATGGGCTTGAAGATGATGTGTCCAAGTCTTTTCAAAAATATCAAACTGTTCAACATCTTCCAAAGAAGACAAATTGGCTTTTGCGTTGGAGACACGTGGAAAGTTCATTGAACTCACTTTAGAGGGAGCAGTAAGAGAAAGAGATGGCACATTTCTTTAGAGCTGGAACAATAATTTGTAATTTGTAATCCTGTCTGATCAAAGGAGCAAGTGGGTGAGGGAATGAAAGAAGGAACTAGGGTGTGGCAGAGCACACGGATTTCTCAGGCTCGACCCCACATCCATCCGACATTCGGGTACGGCCCCTGCTCACTGCACATGGGACACTGTGCTCATGTTATGACTTGTCTCAGTATCAACAGGCCTTCTCCACTTATTCTTTACTGTCACAAGGTAAGCTGGTGTTCTTTTGATGTATGCTTCCTGATCAAAGGCTCCAATGACACTTCTTTTCTTAAAGAATAAACCGTTCATTCAGGCATTTAGAAATACCCATAATCCTCTCAA